GGAGACACCCCTCCCATGGGAACTGAACTGTTAGTAACCCCACCCAGAAATAATCCCCTTATGGCATTTCCTTTAAATCCTATTCTCCTGGCTCCCCAGTGGGATGGCAGATCAGGTGTTAATAGCACCGTGTTACAAATGAGGAGGAGCTGGAGAGGTTAAACTACAGTAGACAGACCCTCACTGGGGTTTTTAAAAAAATTTGTTTGTGATCCCCAGCTCACTCCAGAATAGGTATTTGCCTTTCTTTGAAACCATAGAATGATGTGCTGCAGCACTGTAAACATCATTGAATTGCCAAGATGGCCGGCATTGTACCCTGAGTGTGTGCCATTGTTGCAGATGTGAGAAGGAGCACCTTGACATTTCTGGCTGTGATTTCAAGTGTCCTCATGTACTAGGACTAGCTCTCATCCCCCAGAGCATACAGACACTTGGAACCAGGAAAGAGAGTAAAAAGCAAGAGGCCAATATGAAGACAACCAACTTAGAAAACAGCAGGGCTCAATTTGGGTGAGAGCAAGGCCAATAGTGTGTGTGTGTGTTTATGTCCAAACTATATCTAAGGTTGCTAAATAAAAGATCATACTGTCTGTTGCAAACAAAGCCCTCAATTTAAAATGAATATTTTGGTAGCCAAACTCTCTGCATGGTCACATACAGGTGTATGTGATATGGGTGCTTGTGCGTGATGCATACTCGTGCATGCGCATATGCCTCTGTGTGTTCAGAGGTGGAGAGATATTTACACACTCTCTGCTATGCAAAACTATATGGATCATATGGGAATCTATTTAAAATATTGATATTCTCAGTTAAATAAACACCATGCAATAATGTCATTGCATACACGAGCTCTATTTTGAAGCTGGATAAGGGAAACAGACACTCTTTCTCCTCCTGAAGTGCTGCCTGGAATACTGGAATCGGCAACTCGCTACAATAAGCCGGAACGCACAGAAACTACACTTGAACTAATGCCTAAAACCTGACGGAGACATACTTCATAGTTAATCTGGTTACTCGGGGTTTATTTCACAGTCAGAAGTTCTTATGATGGAAGGGGCTCCCGCTGGCTTCTCCCAGACACATGACTGAATTAATGAATGAATGAATCCAACTTACCAGAGCAGATTTAAACTGCTTACTGAAACAAAATCTGGTCATTTTTCTTCCTTCCATTTTCTTTTAAAAGATAAATACGAGCCTCATATGGATGCTGTAAGAGTCATTAATCCTTGATAACCGACTGTTTTATCTTTTGATTAAAAAAAGGCAGACTGAGTGACAGTGAGCTTACAAGGGCAGGCTCATTAACAAGCCTGGTTCAGATGTGGCCTGGCGAATAAACACGCAGCATTCCATTAACCAGGCAGCACCCAGATGGGAAGGCCGCGTGCTCCCAGGCTTAAAATCCAAAGGACAGGTAAACCAGCCTTGTCTTGCTGAAGCAGCAGAAAGCTCTCAAATTTTTTCAAAATGAGCGCTTTCTGCACTACTACCTGGTTGTCAAATTTTAATGGGTGCTTGTTAACAGCGACTCTGAAATATAGTGATCTATTTGACCATCAGCAACTCACCAGGGGCTGAACAGTGGTGTATTTTAATAGGCCCCTTAACAACCCAGGGTGAGGGCTGCTTAAGGTGGTCCTGGAGGTCTCAAATACTCATAGGCAGTGGGTGGGAAGGGCCCAGCATAAGGGAAATGCGGGGCCTCAGGATCCCAGGGCCAGAAAAGGGGAGAGGACTGTTGAGCTGTCTTGATGCTCTAGGATGACCCGGGAATATGGTGCTTAATATGCCTGGCTAAACCCAAGAGTGGCTAGCTATCAGCTGTGCCTGCCCGCAGAACTGCCTCCCTTTGAAACACACCTCCTGAGCCTCAAAAAATAAAATAAAATAAAATAAAAATAACACACACCTCCTGTAAAGGTGGGCGGGAGGGGAGGGATGGCTCTTCCTCCCCTTCCCCCTTCCTAACTCCCCACTTATCCTCTTTGGCCTTCCCCTCTGTCTTTCCTCCTCCCCTTCCCCCACCTCTTTCCTTCCCTTTCCCCTTTCTTTTTCCTCCTGTCACCTCTCCTTCTCCCTTCCCCTCTTCTCCCCCCTCTTCCTTTCTTCTTTTCTTCTGCCCCTTTCCTCTCCTTCCCTCCCCTCTCCTCCTCCTTTTCCTCCTCCTCTTCTCTTCTTCCTTAATGCTCAGTCTAAGATTTAAGAGTATCCAAATATACTATGTTGAGTGTGGCTAGTAAAATGCCACTTCTCTGAATGACATTCTCAGACTCCAGCTTGTTTGCCGGCTTCTTCCCCCACCCCCCACCCCCGCCCCAACACACACACACACACACACACACACACACACACACACACACGAAGGTCTATGCTTGCTTGCTTGGTTGTCAAGGAAGAACGGGAGATTCCTTTTTGGCACTTTAATCTGTGGCTGAGTAAAAAAATGGACTTTCTGGGCTTGAGGGAAGGAGGGTCTAACTACCAGGGAGGAGACAGCCAACCATGGAGGGTGCATTCCGCAGCTGGGGCAGCAGAGCCTGACATCGGAGCTGCCCCAGTTCAGACCACAGCACCAGATTCTGGGCCCTTCCAAGTGGGGATCTTCACCTGGTAACCAAGGATAACTGTTTTCAAAGAAGGACTCAGAATCAAGTTCTTGGAGGGAGGCTGAGTTTGCCTGGACCTGGCAGAGGGTGTGCATGTGTGCTTGTGCATGTGTGTGCACCACGCGAGCTCTTGCGGCCCTGGAGAGAAGGAATGAATACTTAGGTGGGGGGAGGAAGGCGACTCTCTGCCTAGAGCTGCGCAGAGCTGCCGGGCACCACGGCATGTTCAGAAGAGGCAAGAGTGCTTTGCCAGTGGAAAGCTTATTTTGCCCAGCAGGACCAAAAATCCAATTAAAGAAAGAATGAGGGAAATGTGAAGTTTGGACTGAGTGCTGGCACCTCCCGGCTGACTTCCTTGGCAGGGATCTCTGCCGAGGGGAAGGCCCAGTGATGGCTTATGGGGATGGCCGAGTGGCTAGGCTCCCACGCACCATAGTCAAACACAGGGCAGCTGCCAGTGGCCGAGCTCGGCCTGCCCCTGTTGCCCAGTGCCAAGGCCTCCTGTGAGGACCTGCTGGTGGCCTTGGTGGTGTGGAGAGCTGGGCCACCTGGCAGCAGTGGGAGTGCCACCCCAGCCCCAGCTCTAGGGCCATTTGAGCCACTCACCCGCCTGCGCCTATTGACATCGGTGAGAATCGCACAGGCAGATTAAAAGCAGCATATGGCCCCCCAACTGGAAGCCAGCGGAGCTGAACCAACACTGGCAAATTGTGTTCAAACCACATTGAGAATCCTGGCAGCTGCACCTGGCATGGGGAGCAGCCGGCGACCTGCATACAAAGGGAGTTTTATACACAGGGGGCTGCAGCAGTAGCGGTAGTGGCTCTGCCCCCACTCCCTGCAGCCTGCTCTCACCTCCCCCTCTGTCCAGATCTGGGCAGAGGGACAGCTCTGGGAGTGGGACAGCTATTTGTGCAAGTTTCTGAACCTGGAGAAAGGAGCCCACGAAGTCAGGCTCCTATTAGGAGCTTCAAAGCCAAGCTGGATTTATCAGGGCTCTACTGGTCCCCCAGTCCTGTGCCTATGTGCACACCTCCCCAATTTACCAATGGCCATATTCCCTTAACCATGGGGAGGCAGGGAGCCTACAGGGGACAACAGGAGGCCTGCAGCCTTCCCAGCCTGACCGGTAAGGAAAAGGTGGCAGTTCATCCTTTCCAGCCCAAGTGAGGGAGCCTCCAATTGTCCCCCAGCGCCAGGGTAACATGGACACTTCTGGGTCATCACTTGTCTCCCTCCCTCAGCCCCATCCAAGTAAAGGAGGCAGAGACGTTTTTGTTATCTGATGAACGAATGGGAAAACACTATGTAACTGGCATATAGAAATAAATAAACGAGTGTGATGGAGTTGGGAGGAGGGGAGACCGATTAACTTGCAATAAACCAGCAGAACCAGGAAGGGGCAGCGTTCACAGAGTCAACACACAAACTGTGCTTGGGTTCTGGCAGCTGCTTAGTCAGATGTGTGTTGCACGTCAGCTTGAGACACTGAGCATGCTGAGTGGAAAAATCTGGCCAAACCCAAGGGGATGTGAAATGGAGGGGGTGGTTTGGGGGGTCCGCCTCACGTAATAGGGTTTAGAGAACCATAGGTATCGTTTTCTAAAGGATGCTCCATCCTGGAAGACTGCTGCTACCACAGGAAGTCATTAAAAATGCTCTTAGCCTGGATATCATCTCACCCCAGTTAGACTGGCCATTACTAAAGAAACCAAGAATGACAAATGCTGGCGAGGATGTGGGGAAAGGGGAACTCTTACACACTGTTGGTGGGACTGTAAATTAGCACAGCCACTATGGAAAACAGTATGGAGGTTTCTCAAACAACTACAGATAGAACTACCATATGATCCAGCAATTCCACTACTGGGTATATATCCAAAGGAATGGAAATCATCACGTCAAAGGGATACCTGCACTCCCATGTTCAGTGCAGCTCTATTTACAATAGCCAAGGTATGGAACCAACCTAAGTGTCCACTGATGGATGACTGGATACAGAAAATGTGGTATATATACACAATGGAGGACTGTTCAGCCATAAAAAAGAATGAAATTCTGCCATTTGCAGCAACATGGATGAGTCTGGAGAAAATTATGTTAAGTGAAATAAGCCAAAGTAGGAAAGAGAAATACCACATGTTCTCACTTATAACTGGGTGCTGAGAGAGAGAGAGAGAAGAAAGAAAAGACCGCAACAATTCATCGAACTTTTATGTTACATGTAACAAACCTAAGGTTACTGGAGATGGGGGAAGGGAGGGAGGGGGTTTCGGGAGGGACAGGTTGGGTAAAGGGCATAAAGAAAAATCACGATTTGTAACAATGAATATGCTAATAATAATAAAAATAAATAAACTAAAAAATAAATGCTCTCAGCCTGGCTGGTTAGCTCAGTTGGTTAGAGCATGGTGCTGATAACACCAAGGTCAAGGGTTCGGATCCCCATATGGGCCAGTTGCAAAACAAAGAAAAAAAACCTCTCTTGTTTCTATTTCTCCCTGGTTGGCATGGGTGGCCTGCAGGGTAGGTCCAGGGAAGAGGAAGATCAAAATTCTTTTAACAGCGCAGCTCCCGCATGCTGGACAGGCTGGGTACGGTCCCACAGCCTGGCCTGCTTCCTGGAAGCAGGGCGAGACCCTGAAGAAGGCTTGTGACCCTCCACCCTGCCCCAAGGTGGTATCTCCTTCCTGTCTGGCCAACTGCCACAGCAAATGGAAGTAGGGTTTCCAGAGTAGTTGGGACATCCTCAGACAATGTTAGGTGAGGTTTGGGGATGGCTTCTGAGAACGGCAGAGGGAGGCTCTCTTCTATCAGGCCCAGGGGGCTTGGAGCGCTGCTTTCCTTTGGATGAAGGGCAGACTGTTAGATTTGCTGCCCAGACATGGATCTGAAAGCACCCTTGGTGCCCTGTTACCTTGGCCTAGATCATAGAAGCTTTCTTCTCTTGTGGCTTGGGAGAGACAGCCATTTTGAAAGACAAGCTGTGGCCCTTAAGCATCTTCTACATGCTCTGGCCTGTCTTGTGCAAGGGTTAGGGCATAGGATCCTCAGGATGGCCAAACTCCAAGAGGGGTTAATCTCGTTGTCATATTCAGGGAAAATATATGTAACATAAAATTTACCGTTTTCACCAGTTTTTAGTACACAGCCGAGTGGCATTAGGTACATTCATGTAGTTGTGCTACGGTCTCCACCATCCACCCGCAGAGCTTTTTCATCATTGGCGGTGGCTGTCCACATATCACAGCTCACTGATTGACACGTTGTGGGGTTGCCTGCACCTCCCTGACTGTTTCTGCAGCTGGTGAGCCTGCCTCTGAGCAGGGCCAGGAGGGAGGCTCAGGCCTCTGGAGCTCTGGAAACCCAGGCCGCACTGAAAGAGAATACCCTTTCCGGGCCTCAGCTGTGGCCAGTTAAACATGACACTGGCCTCTCTCAGGCATGCTCATCAGTGATCCTGCGGGGAGGACAGACGCGCAGCGTCTCCACAGCGGAGGCTGCAGAACACAGGCGGCCCCTCTGATGAGCTCGGGCAAAGGACGCGCTGGGACTTGCTGTTTACATAGCCACCGCCTGGGGCCCGGCACCTGACCTTATGCTCTCGAGTGAGCTATGACAGCTGCCACAGCAGCCCTGCTGTCCCTGCCACTTCCTAGCTGTGTGACTTGGGGTGAGTCACTTAAGCTTTCTGAGCCTCAGTTTTTTTATCTGCTAAATGAAGATAATTATAGTGCTATATCTTAGGGTGAGGATTAGATGAGCCAGGGCTGGACCAGAAACAGATGCTTAGTTAATATGTGTGGCCAGCCAGGATCCCCATCCCCTTCCTCAATGTACTATCTTTCCTCATCCTTTGTGGGAAGGGGTTTTTAGAAAGAAAAGAGACAAGGACTTTATTAGCATCAAAAATTATGCCTTGAGAGGCGTCTTCGTTATTAGCCAGAGAACCTCTTCTTTGTCTTTTAGATGCTCATCCTGAAGATCCATAGCTTTCTCCAGCCTTGATGTTCTGGTTAGGACCCTGGAGTGGGCTGAGACTCTAGAAATAAATAGGCGGGCTTGGGGCGGGGAGAGAGCAAGGGAGCTTTTGGACACTGAGGGTGACTTGCTATAGTATTCATTTTCTTCATCTTCTTAAGTAATGGAATCCCTGAGTTTTAGTTGGGCACATAGTCATCTAGAATAAAGACCATGTTTCCTGGCCTCTTTCATTGCTAGGTGTGGCCACATAACTAAATACTAGCCAGTATGATGTCATGTGCTGAGGCATCCTCCAGGAACTTCCTTAAGAGACAGCTTCTTCATCTCTCCCAATATCCTATGGTCTGGAATGCAGATGTGATGGCTGGAGCTCTAGACACTATTTTGGACAATGAGGATAAGGTCACCCCACCATGTATGGCAGAGCAATGAGCTGGGCGGAACCTAACTCCCTGTTCCGTTTACTTTTGGTGTGTAACAAACTACCCCAGACCTCGTGCTTAAAACAACCATTTTATTGTGCTCACAGGTTTTGTAGTTCAGGAATTTAGGCAGGGCTTGGCTGGGCAATTCTTTGGCTGCTGGTAGTGTTGACTGAAGTCACTTTGCTGACTATAAAGGGCTAGTATGGAATATCTAAGACAGCTTCACTGCACATCTGGAGCCTGGAATGGGATGAGTCAAAGATTAGGACTGCCAGCCAGAGCACCAACGCATGGCCTCTCCGTGTGGCTTGGTGTCCTCACAGCATGGTGGTCTCAGGGTAGTTGCACCTCTTAGGTGGTGGCTCAGAGCCCCAAGCAGGAATGTTCCTGTGAACAAGGTGGAAACTATGCCTTTTTTATGATCACCTCTCAGAAGTCCTGCAGCATCACTTCTGCCAAATTCTGTTAGCCGAAATAGTCACCGGCCTGCCCAGATTTGAGAGGAGGAGAGTTAAATCCCCCTCTCCATTGGAGGACCCTCAAGGTTACATTACAGAAGAGCATGAGGAATGGGAGATACTCTTGTGGTCAGCTCTGGAAAATACTACCGGCTGTCGTCCCTGAGGGCTCCTGGAGCAGAGCTGCCACAGCAGCCTAGACTGTCTAGCTCAGGAATTTGAGTGAGAAATGCACTTTTGACTCATTTAAGCCGTGCTTAGTTTTGGTCTTTATTACTCAGAGTCAAACCCTGTGCTAACACACAGAGATCTGCTCTGTATGGACTTTAAGGGACTCGATGACAAAAGTGAAGGACTGTTTAGCCCTCCTCTGGACTTAGTGTTTGGCTAAAATAAATCTCCTTTTCTAATAGTAATGGATAGTACTAACAACTCCCTGTCCCCCCACCGGTCCTGCCCTTCAAGACCCTAAAGCCAAAATTAAGATGACATCTATGTACATACTATCTATACAAACATACGAAGGTACTTCAAAAAGTTCATGGAAAGATTCCTATTATCTTTCAATTCCATTTTTCCATGAACTTTTTGAAGTACTGCTATACATGTGTCAGAAAACTGTAGGGAGACTCCTATGATAAGCCCGGGGATTTGCAGGAAGGGCCCAGGGCCTGCCAATGGAGGCTGTCATTGAGGGAGCCTGTGGCCCAGGCAGGAGATTGGAAAAACATTCATCTTATTCTTTGCCTGAGGTTTCAAATTCCAGTGTGGGAGAGGGTGGGGCCCACCAGGAGGTCAATCTAGGTACTTCCTGGGGGCGTCATGGGGTCCTCTGAGGCAGGTGAGTGTGGTGATGGTGGTGGTGGTGGGCAGGAATGTTCCAGAGTCTTTACCAACCAAAGGTTGGGATGAGACATGGCTCCCAGGTTGCCACAAGTGAGGAATGTTTCCCTTGGCCTGGACTTGGCTCAAGAGGTCAGATCCCACTGGCTGATGGGGTTCCTAGGGAGTCAGGAGAGAGCAACAGGAGCGGTCACCCAGGCGGCTCACCTTGAAGGCTCTGGAGTTCAAAGTCTCACTTGTCTCTCTCTGGCCATGTGGCCTTGATCAAGCGACTTCACTGTGCCTCAGTTTCCTCATCTGTCAAGTGGGCCCTGCCTTCTAGAGCTGTTGAGAGGACTCAGTGAAAGAGTGGATGTTAGAGTGCCTGGCCTGGTGCCTTTGCCACAGCAGGCAAGAGGTGGGGGAGTCTGGCGAGATGGGGCAGGTCTGGTGAGCAGGCCCTTTCCTCCCATGATGCTGGCAGAAGCACGAGAGGGCTAGCCCAACCTTGCAAGCATGCTGCAAACCTCTGCTTGCTCGCCATCTGCTCTCACCCCATTGGCCAGAGCAAGTCACAGGTCCAGGCCCAAAGTCAAGGGCTAGGGAAATGCACTCCACTTCTACTGAGAGTAACTGCAAGATCACATGTCAAGGGGTGTGGGTGAATCATTCTAATGTAAAAGGGGAGAGGAATTGGGGAATGATGATCCATACGCCACTTTATCCAATAGCCTATAAATTACTCTTTAAAACCATACGAAATCTATAAGAACCAGTCTTCTAAATCCCTAAGTCAGTGGTTCCAAAGTATGTGTGTGTGTATCAGGTGGTAGGATGAGTGGAGGGACCCACTGTCCCTCCCTGACCCCCATGAACCCCTGTCCTACCTAACCCAACTACCTTGTAACTTGATGCCTTGGGCTTAATAAATATTTGTTGACTGACTGATAAATACAGGCTGACATTCATGGGGACAAGACGAATCCTGCTGGGGCTTAGAGTGAATGTCAGTGAGTCTGAGGATGACCTCCTTCCTGTGGTAACGACAAGCTCTCCTCCCCTCCAGGTTCTATTGCTGGAATTGAGTTTCTGGCGCTCCTTTTTGCTTCTTTGTCAATAGCCTCAAATAGGCGCATCTGGTGGCTCACACTGGAGACACCTGTATTCTCTTCCATTCCTCTCCACCCAGGTGGGATGTCTGGGTCTGACATGAAGCTTCCTCCCACTGTAAGCGCGTGTGCTATCTGCACTGTTTCTGGGCTTCCATGTGTTGGGCAGCCAATGGGTAGATGTGATTTCAGTGGCTGTTATCTACGTCACGACGCTGGGTTCTGTGGGTGACGTGGGTGACAGCAGGATGTGTGTAAGTCATGGTCCACACCCAGAGCAGTGGATGATTTAGTTGGGGATAAGATACACGTGCACACCAGATGCTGCGGCAGTGAAACTGGGGCGGTGCCTGGTGGGGAGGGGGTGGCTCTGCATGAAGCAGCTGACTCCTAGCCGTCATTTTGGACCTGCAAGGTCTGGTCAAATACTCATGAAGAGCTGCCAAGAATGAAGCAGGGGACCTATCCCTCTGCTTCTCCATGAGGAGAGCCAAGAGGGGGACAGCAGCAGCCAGGATGGGGCCGGTCTGAGGATCAAAGGGAAAGCTTCAAACCTTAAGTCCAGTGGGTGAAGTTTTGCCAGCAGGGGTCCCATTTATTTTTATTCTTATTTTAAAATAATTATTATTTCTTCCCAGTGATCAAAGTAAATCATACCC